TCTCCCTCTGACCCTCTTCCCTCTCGTGCTGTCTGTCTCTCATTCTCTCTCTCTCAAATAAATAAATAAAATCTTCAAAAAAAAGTTTATGTATTTGTATTTGATTTGTATTTCAACTTTAAATATTATTTTGTGCTCCCATGTAGCATCGCCGAGGCAACTGTTAGTTGATTGTACTTTCTGCCTTCTACCATTTCTCAGAGTCCTGATTGATTGATTTTAGAGAAAGAGAGCACAAGTATGGTGAGGGCCAGAAGGAGAGGGGGAGAATCCTCAAGCAGACTTTGTGTGTGAAGCCCCACATGGGACTTGATCCCATGACACTGAGATTATGACCTGACCCAAAATCAAGAGTCGGCCACTTAACCAACTGAACCACCCATATTTTTCATTTTTATGGTCCTGTTTTTTCTTTGCTCCCTTGTAATTTAACTTCATTTCAGAAAGGATTTGTGACTCTTTTTTGCTTTTCCCCCTGAGTTTAGTCAGTTCCTGTTTCACATCTTCCTTTGAGCTTATGCGTCTCTGCTTTATAGTTTCCCTGCATTAATGTGATACTTTTGTGCTAAATTAAAGCAGCATACACCTCACTGAGAGCCAAAATGCATATGTTAAATTTAACTTGAGCTCTGACCTCATTTGATGTTCTTCTTAAGAGTAAATCAAATGAATTAGAAGTTTAAAGCACAGAATATTTCATTGGTAAACTATATAAGAGGTTTTGGTACTTACCACGAAACCTGTACTTGTTAGTAATCTGAAAACCTACTGTATTGTGATAAGCACAAACTGAGGCAGAGCCAAAAAGAAAAAAATTAACAGGCAACTTCCTTATTCCCTGGGTTGAGGTCTTCTTTCATATAGTCATATTGTTTTGCTGCCTGGAGGAAATATTGCCAGAAGAAGAAACAGAGTAAGCACAGAGAGACAGAACAACAGAAACATATTTTGAAGATCTCAGGTTGGCTACAGGAGAAAAATGAGTATTTCTAGCTGTGTGAATTGCAGTCTCAAATAAATCAGCATTCTGTGCAGAAAGAATTAGAGGAGACTAGAAATTGGATAGTCAACTAGCTTCTGCCAGAGTTAGATATTTGGACTTGAAGCTTAGGGTACAAATTATAACTAGATTTAATATTATTCACATAGAGATGGTCTTGATCTTCAAAAAGAGGATATAAATTAAGAGAGGAAAAGAAAGAATAAAAATGGGGGGAACCCATGTGTTTTAAGGGCAAGAAAAGGCAAATCAGCCAGAAAAGGGGACATGGAGTATTCAAGGTATAGGATAAAAAGGACTGTTAAATGTCCCTGTCCTAGGGAAGCCTTCTGCTGTTTTCCCGGGGGCCTGATGGCCCGCTGTGTTTAGGAGATGGACTTAGTGACACCTGAGTAAGAATTTCACCTGGAACGGGTAAGTGCATGGGGAAGAGAGTTAAGGACCCAGCAGCTGAAGACATTGGCAGCGTGGCGATGGAGAGTGAGGGATGCAAGAGAAGAAGACAAGGGTCATGATGGACGGGCAAGGCAGGAAAGAGGGGTGAAAGGTAGTCCATAACCATAGGCTGTGATACCCCAAACAAGACCAGGTTCGAGGGAACTATAGCCTTAAAAGCTTGGATTTTAATCAAACAGACCCGGATTTGAATCTCAGTTGCCACTTACTAGCTGGATTTCAATCACAAGTGATAGAAGTTAGATATAGCAGAAACTTGTAATGAATGATCATAACACCAAGCACCACGTGCTTTACAGACATTACCTCCTAGTCTCACTTAACCCTCCTAAGAATTCCCATTAGATGGATTTTAGTCTCCCCAGTTGTACAGAAAAGTAATCTGAGGTTTCACATGGTAAAATGCCATGTTCACTGTCACAGAAATAGCTACAAGGTGGAGCCAGGGCTGGACCCACGCCCCAAAGCCTGTTTGGACCAATTCCTTCCTTGAAATGAGTGTCTTGGCTTCAGGGGCATACACAGCCCATGGCCACCATGATCACTCAGCCTATCGATTCCATCTGGGCTTCGGCCCATCCATTGTGGTGGTGAGGCCATGGTGGGCCTCCGGGCCCTTCCTGCTCATCCTGACTCTGGGTGACATCAGTTAGGACTCTTGGAGACTTGGAACAGGAAAGAAGAAAGGGGAGCTTGATGCATGTGATCTCTGACCACCAAACCCTACTTCCAGGCCACCAGGGACCCACCCCATCCCGATCCCTAGATTTCCTGTTTTTAGATACAACCTGTACGACCCACCGAAGCCCAGCTACCTGCTGAGGCCTCCCTGGCCCGTGTGTCTATAAATCACCATGTACAACCCTGGTTTTCCTGAGCTGCCATCTGGGGAACTGTGCAGAGTGGGAAGCATATCTTGAGGGGCTCTGACTCTCTAAACGATTGATGAATGTGTCTGTCGCCTGTCTTGTTTTCTTCCCACATCAGCGGTCTTTCCACATGCATGGCCACTGAAGTACTGACTCCTTGAGGGATTCTTTAACGTCTTTGAAGGGAGCATTTGGGAGCTAGGCTTTTGTGGACAGTGCCGCCGCCCCTCCTCCTTCCATTTTCATTCTCACTTAACATTGATTGAATCTCTGTGACGAGGTACAGCACAATTAGAACCAGGATGCTCACCGGCTAAGAATACAGGGCAGATGCATAGTTAAGTGAGCATGAATATGAGGCAGCAATAGGAGAATGCAGAGGAGGCCTGAGCAAGCCAGAAGATAAGCAGTGAGAAGTCACTGAGGAGAAAAGCAGAATGCACGGTCCTTCACCGATGGTGGGACATCTGCCTCGTCAGTGCGGTCCAAGTTGATCCTCTAACAGTTGCATGTAGTGGGAACACACCCTCGTCCTGCAGGATGAGGCTGCAGCCTAGCCTACTGGAGCTACACATAATTTGAGGCCTGCTCTCCCACTTGGGCCCAAATGCCTTATAGTGGGAACCGGGGATGGGGGGCTCTGGGAAGGGTAGGGAACAGGCAGAAGCAGCAGGAGAGACTCCTTCCACTGGGCAGAAGCAGCACAGTAGGGCGGGAGTGGGCTGGCTCCCCATAACAGTGCCCTGACAGCTGGATTAGGGTCCACGGCCCTGCCAGGACCAGATTTTGTGTGCAGGGCAGCCCTGCATGGTAGATGCAGCTCAGCAGGGAAAAAAACAGATTGGAGGGCCCACATGCAAACACCATGATGTATCAAATGAGGAACTGCGAGTAAATGCTGTAATCAGACTACCCGTCGCTTTGTGAAATGGCAGAATATTGCCCGTGTCCTGTTGGGGCCTGGGGAGGATGACACCCCTGGCTGCATCTGGAGCTCCTCAGGGGCTCCACATGGGCTGCTTCCCTGCTCTCCCATCCCTCTCCACAACCAGAATTCGTCATGCTGATGTTACTGCTAATACACACATCCATGCTGGAATGTCTGCATTTTGTGATAGGAACTGGCATCAGGAATGCTTCTCCTCCACCTCTCCTCTCCTTCACCTTCCTCCTCCGTGCAGGTTTGACCCTCCCATGGTCACTTGCCCCCCACCAGCCACGCCTTAGAGCAGGGTGCCCACTCAGGTCATCACCCCTGCTAAGGCATAAATTTCCCTGAAGGTAGGGTCTTATCTTTGTCTTCTTGGAACATTAATGCTCCTTTGATAGTCACTACAATTAGACTTGGAAAATGCCAGGTTTTGATCAGGTAGGTAGGATGTGTACACTGTGATTGTTAGTCTCGTGTAAGAGCGAGAGTGTGCTCTGACATTTCTGCTTCGGTTTCCTTTCCCAAAACCAGCCCTGTCATGGCCAGCACCCAGCCCCGTGGCCACGACCACCACCCTCCACTTCTGCTACTAATGATAATCAGCTGCATTACACCAATACCCCCTGTTTATTATCACTTACAAAAACACCAGCTCCTGCTATTTTTTTTCTGCTGTGTGACCCAGATAGATTAATTTGCTTTTCTTACCCACTGAGATGGTGCAAAGATGCAACTATTGCATCTTTGTTAGCTGACTATGGAGGAAAAAAAAAAACGTGATTAAATTACCAGTGGCCATACTGATGATTGATAGTATCAAGTCTGCACTAGAAGTGGAAGGGGAAAAAAAAAAGGATGTCCTGATACTATTTTATATGCTCAAAGCCTCATGATATTGTATATACGACATAATTCGGCATATAATTAGGTCAATACGGTTAATACTTGCACTTCGAAGTTAACCAGGAAAGGATAAGATTTTATTTGCTCTTTAAAATGAAAGCTAGGCTTTTAATTCTTTGTCTTTAAAAAGCTCATGATGCCTCATGAATCGGATGCAGTGTGCAATGCCTCTGTGGGTCCATCAGAAGGCCATTGACTCAGACTCAGAATTAGAGCCCCACAGAGCTCCAGCCCCCACAACAGCTCCCCCAGGGTTGCAAAGAGTCCTCTTCAACACCTGGCACCCATCTCCGTGCCCAGGGACCCTGCTTAGAGCTGTCCCAGGCCAGGACCCCAGTCCCGGCTCGCATCTCCCCCAGTTCAAGGTCAGAGATCTGAAGTCTGCCTCCCACTGAGGCTTTACACGGAGAATACGTCCCAAGCTTCTGCTTTTCCCATATTAAGCTTAAAAAGAGAAGTAAAACTGGAAGCAAAAGCCTAAAGAAAATTTGGGGAGTCTTTTTATTGATTTTTAAAATTTAGTTTATGTTTTGCTTCTCTGAGGGTAAGCTCTACAACTTAATTTTTCAAAGGGGTGGAGGAAGGCATGATAATTAGGAATGTCATGTTTTGACATGTGTGTGCATGAATCTAAAGGCAATGAGTAAATACAGTCACGTATTTCAGATGGACATCAGTCGCAGGTGTGAACTTCTACTTACACATCAGGCCACTTGACCCCCTGAATAAAACGAGCATTGCTGGTGGAAAGTTCATTCGTCAACGTGCTGATGAGGAACCCTTCTTGCACAGTTTTTTTTCCTACAGTGAGATCCTTAATATTGTCATTTCTTGGCCATAGGCAAAAACTGGGACCTGACTGCCGCTCTGAGTGACTATGAGCAGCTCCGACAAGTGCACACAGCCAACCTGCCGCATGTGTTCAACGAGGGCAGGTGCCCCAAGCAGCCAGAGCGAGAGCCGCCCCAAACCAGCCACAAGGTGGAGCGGCCCTGCCTGCAGAGACAGGACGACATTGCCCAAGGTACCTGGTGAGGGGCTGAGGCCAGGAACAGCTTCCCCAGAGTGCCATGGCTTGCATGGGGTAGCGTAGCGGGGGTGGGGGGGTGGAGGGCGCAAAGAACCGCAAAGTCATCCCTCTCCTGAGCTGTGGGACACATCAGGCTCTCCACGCACATCAAGCTGAAACGTGCACTGCAGCTTCCGTTTCCGGCTCCTCCCTCTGCCTCGGAAAAGCAAGAGGAGGAGTCCAGTTCCCCAGGACCCCACGTGATTAAAAGCCAGCCCTCCTCCTGGAGCCCTGGTCTCTCCAAGCCAAACACCTCTAGTCCCTTCCCTTTTTTCCCACCTGGTCTCCAGATCTGTTCATCATCAGTTCATTGCCCCGCAGGCTCCATTTTCTCTCTTCTTTTTCTTAATTACAGAAGTCAGATGTGTTTATCGTGATGAAAGAAACAGTACAAAGATATATAAAGAGAACTTCAGAGTTTTCTTCTCACCCATCTCAGATCTCACTGATGTAATAAGCAACAATTACATCCTCATCTGTCTCCTCCTTGCTTTCCCTGGGCTCGTTCAAAATGCATCAGGGTCAAATGCACATAATGCTTCTCAGATCACTTGTTTCACTGAACATTAAATCACGAGTAGAGGCTCAATATTTTATTCCACAGCCTACAATGATTTTTAAACCACTCCTGTATTAATGGTTATTCTGGTTTTTCTTGGGATTTTTTGTTTTGCTTGTTTTCGATACTACTAGCAATGCTAAAATAAACAACGGTATGCCTGTGATCTTAGATACTAGTGCTTTTGTTTCTATAGGTTAGTGTTCCCAAAGTGGATTTGCTGTGCCAGTACCTGTGTATCTTTAATTCAATAACTGCAGGACTTTTTCCCAGACGCATTTCTGCTTGCAGTGTGTGAAATGAGGTATCTCCCTCCACTCTTGCCAACACTGAACGTTTTTGTAATGGCTTTACATTGCTTTTCTACTGTGAAGGGTGGAAAAGGGTGTCTTGTTTTAACTTTCATCTCGTCATTTGTTTGTTAGCCAGTTGGATTTCCCCTTCTGCAACACGCCTGTTCCCATACTTTGCCCATTTTTCTGTTGATTTGTTTTCAGTTTTCTGATCAACATGTAGCATCCTCTGTGATTAAGACTAAGAACATATATTTTTATATATGTGTATGTCTTTCCCGGTATATCATTGCTTTATGACTTTGTTTACAGAATATTTTGCCACACAAAATGTTTATATTACTATGCATTCATGGCTGATAGGTGTCCTCTTTTGCTTCAGAAGGTCTCCTGGAATAGTTACTGAAATATGTTCCTATATTCTTTTAAAATTTTGTTCTTAGGTCTTTTGATTGATTTGAAATTTTTATAAGTAATAAGGAAGAATCTGGTCTTGCTTTCTTCTGGATCAAGAGTGAGTTACTCTAGCACATTTATTGAATAAAACATTCCTCACCCACTGAACTAAAATGCCAACGTTGCCATATATTAAATTCCCAAATATATTTGGATCTGTTTACAGACTCTGTCAATCCGTGCGGTCACCCATCCTGTTAGCTTAACTCTGGTAGTTCATATGCTGTACTTTCTGTTAAGGCAACTCCTTTCGCTGATAGTCTTTTCCAAAAATTTTTCACTATTTTTGGACGTTTTATTCTGCCATATAAACCTTAAGCTTGGAATTCTGGTTGGAATTGGATTGAATTTTTATTTTAAGAATAATTGGCATAATGTAATATTGTTTTCCCACTCAAGAACATTAAATATGCCTCTCCATTTAGTCAGATTCTAAGATTTTAGACATAGAGAAAAGTGACTTACTTTTTCCATATTTATATTTTATGCAGTAATTCACAGAAATTCTCTTATAATATTAATCATTTTTTTCGAAGAGAATATCTTGGGTTTTCTAAATATGTATGTGTATATGGCTGCCCCTGCTGTTTTTGACTGGCAGCAAACCAACCAACCCATTATTTTATCCTCCCATTGAGGAGGCTAGAAGGACCCTCCTCTCTGCTTCCAGAGAGGTTGATGGATTCAGAGTCTAATAAATGTAACTGAAAAAATAAGTCTGTCACATAATTCCATTAATTGAGTTTTTTAGTTTCTGAATTAGATATATGTATCCTTTAACTGAGTACTTGAAATCATAGTGCATGCACTAACAAGGAAAATGAATGTCTCCATATTATAAATTAGGGGTCAGCAAGCAATGGCCCATGAGCCAACTCTGGCTACTGTCTGTTTTTTAAATAAAGTTTTTATTGAAACACCCTCATGCCCATTCATTTATGCATTGGCTAAGGCTTTGGCTTACAAAGCCTAAAGTACTTATATCTGTCCCTTTCAGAAAAGGTTTGTGCACCTGTTTTTAAAATACCTAGGATTTGTTTTAATCAGATAGGATAAGATAGGCAAACATGGAAAAGAATATCATGAAGGAAGCTGTTAGACTCACAGTTCCCTAAAAGCAGGTGGCATGGCACACTATGCAGGACAACATGAGGAAGCACCAAGGTTGGTCAGGAGGCAGAAGGGACGGAGAGGAAAAATACGGGCATGAGCTTTTATTTTGATTTCCTTGGAAAAGGCAAGGCAGGGTAAACAGATTTAGGATTGGCAAGATTGAATAATTTCAGCAGGCTCTCTGGGGTTTAGGAGCTATCCCTGGTTGTCTTGTACCTTGCCCTGGGGTGCAGAGACATACTGCTTGCTGGAGTGTAAGAACCAGATAGAAGAGGTGGTTCAGAGTATGGGCTCTGGATTGGTTGGTTTGCATAAGAAAGGCAGGCTCCTTTCCTAGGAGTCATTTGCTCTCAGAATTAGCTATTCCTAGTAAGAAGAGCCTCTGCCCAGTCAGGGATGCCCCAGATGCCAGAGCGTCAAGAATACAGAAAATAAGAAAATATAGGTAAAACACCTCCCCTGGCCTGAATCAATGATCAGTTTGAGTTGGTTTTGTCAATAGTTGCAGAATTCTGTGCGTTCTCTCACTGTGTTTTTGTTTAATATCTGTATTTCTCTGGGGCATAACTCTGAACATGGTCGTTCCTGTAAAAACAATTCATTTATACCTCTAAAAGAAGGATCACTGAGTTCATGTTTAAAAAATCAATGTGTGTGTGTATCTGTGTGTGATTACATATGTGCATTCATGGAGGTGGTGGTGGAGAAGACTTTTTCTTTTTTTTTAAGATTTATTTATTTATTTTAGAGAGAGAGTGAACAGAGGGAGGGGCAGAGGGAGAGGGAGAGAAAGAATCCTCAAGCAGGCTCCCCTCTGACTGAGGAGCCCAACGAGGGGCTCAATACCAGGACCCTGGGATCATGACCTGAGCCAAAACCAAGAGTCAGACGCTCACTGACTGAGTCACCCAGGCACCCCCCAAAAGCCTTTTTCATTCAGACTCCAAATATTTAATAATTGGAACTGCTTAATAGCATCATATTATACTATGAATCACCATGTTCCTAAGGTCCTAATAGCATCTCATCAATTGACAAAGAGGTACTGAGTGATAAGCCATGAAGGAGTATGGATGACCCCTCCCATAAGATTCCCACTGTTGAGAGCAGCATCGTGAGTCTGCCCAGTGGATTGTGGGGTCACGTAGCACCTCAGGTGTTAAAGAATGTCTGATGTCCGTCTCCATTGGGTCCCAAAAGGTGAGGCATTTCCTACTTTCCCAGATATAGAAACAGTAGTCTGCAGCAAGAGGTAAGACATCAGCACGGCTTGTGAGACCTGGAGAACATGGCAGAAGGACTTAGAGTTTCCTCTGCTCCTGCTCTCAGAATGTGGACCAAGTGCAGGAAGCAACGGGGCCATCCCCAGTGGTAGACAAACCAGGCCCTACGTGCTCCATGTCTCTTCTTTCTCATGGCCGTGTGGTTTAACTTCTCTTTGCCTTTCCTCAAAATACAAAATAACTAGTCATCATGGTCTCAGAATCCAACTGAAGATGAATCAAAACTACTCATTTTAAAAATACTCTGTCTGCAGGACTCAACCACTCAGTTTAATGCCCAGATACTTGAGGCTTCTGAGAAAGGACTTTAAATTTAAAACCAACTTACCCCAGGATTAAAAGCCTCTTGTTTTTAGTCTGCTGTAGCAAAATGACTTTAATGACATTTTTGTTCACTGCTCTTGCACGTGGGGAAGTAAGAAGCTCCCGTTCTGGATGAAGGCACAGGCGTGGGTTTAATGACATTTCTGTCCACTGCTCTTGCACGTGAGGAAGTAAGGAGATCTCCTTCCAGATAAGGCACGAGCGTGGGTTTTCTGTGAGCTCAGGTGGGCAGAGACATGCTTCAGAGTGGCATCAGCTTACACGCAGAGCCTGATCAATGAGCAGGCTAATCTGAAATGAAGTGGCAGTCCTCATGACCTAAGTGGATACATTTACGAATTTGCCACAGGGCTTAGACAACACTCTTTCAAACACTAGTTTGAATTTTGTTTCCCTGAGCAAATTGAAAGAGAACTTCTGCCTTGCTAGAAGAATTCTCCATTATTACAAATATTGACTGCAAAAAGAAAGTGTCCCCCTAACACCGTGTATTTAAGACTTCTTCTATTATGGTAATAAATGTTAGCTATTAAGAGCAGGGCTTAAAAAACCAAGTATGCTTTCAGAGCCAAGAGAACAAAGACATCCGCTTTTTTGCTGTGGCGTTGAGATCACATGATTTTCTTCACGGAGCAACATCAGGTGCATCAGAGGAATTCTGCACTAAACTTCTCACCCTTTGGCTGGAAACTCTAGGCAGAATAAAACCAGAGTAGACAGGCACTTTCTGAGGGCTGTGTCAATGGCAAACTGAGAAGAGAAACAGGGGCTCCTGGGGGGCTCAGTTGGTTAAGCATCTGCCTTCAGCTCAGGTCATGATCCCAGTGTCCTGGGATCGAGCCCCGCATGGGCTACCTGCTCAGCGGGGAGCCTGCTTCTCCTTCTGCTCCCCTCTGCTCGTGCACTCTCTCTCTCTGAAATAAATAAAATCTTTAAATAAAAAGAGAGAGAGAAGCAAATGTGATGGCTTCGTATGTTTGTATTTGGGGCATCATCGTCACGTGAGATATGTTTATCAGAATACCTTTAGGAAAGTAACCTCTCTTACAACCCAAGCCATGTGGGGAAAGCCTGAACCAATTGCTTCTTGCTTTAAGTATATGCATATGTAAAACAAAGGAGTCTGTCTCGTGGTGTTCAGCTGAGCCCAGGGCAGCTCTGCTGAACTGAGTTAGATGTAACTTAAGACCCAAAAAAGCAAGACTGGTGATCTTTCATGATGCTGCTGTGTACTTGTGTGGTAGACTTGCAGCTCACCTCTTTCTGAATGGTTTCACGACTCAGAGTGAGTAAAGTGCCATATCCCAGGTGGTGGTAATGTTAGCTCAGCCGCAGGGAGGCCTGCAATGTTGGAGGAAGAGTGGCAGGCGTGCGGGCGAGTGTATGTGTGCGCCTGAAGGTGTGTGTGTGCGTGCGGACACGTGTGGGAGCATATTTGTGCATGCACGTGTGTGTGCGCATGCATGCTCGCACAGCCACACGCCCACCCCACTCAGTTCCTGTGGTTGTCCTCTCCCCCTCCACCCCCCAGCAGAAAAGCGACTCTCCCGGGGGATTTCCCACGCCAGCTCGGCAATCGTCTCCCTGGCCCGGTCCCACGTGGCGAGTGAGTGCAACAATGAGCAGTTCCCCCTGGAGATGCCCATCTACACATTCCAGCTGCCAGATCTGAGCGTGTACAGCGAAGACTTCAGGAGCTTCATCGAACGGGACTTGATTGAGCAGGCGACCATGGTGGCTTTGGAGCAGGCAGGTGAGTGGCTGGCCCCCGGCAGGCCCATGTTGCCTGGGCTCAGGGAGCAAGTGAGGTTGGCCTGACTTAGATTAGGGAGCAAGGGAGAGGCATGTTGTCTGACTCAAGTGTTTTCAATTCAGACTCTAGGTACTTGAAGCAGACCCCCTGCTCAGCAGACAAGCTTTGCTCCAGCCCAGAGCGGGCCAGTAGGGATGGATGACTGTGTGGTGCTGAGAACTCTTGAGTTTTCCCTTTGTTCCCAGACCCGACCTGCCTAGGCCGGCCCCCTCTATAGAGGACTCTGTGGTTTTGCCTTACTTTTCTCCTGTTTCCATCTAACTCTCCCGTGGGTGTCGAATGAAAGGCAAGACCATGGGCTTTGAGAAAAATAGGAGACTGTCACTTCCTGTGGACATAAGCAAGTTAGTAACCTTCCCGAGCTTCTGCTTTCCTGCAAAGATGGGAAGACAGGTGGCGGCCCGGTGAAACTATTTGAGTATGAAGTGGCACCTGCCTTGTGTGGCTCTCATCTCCTGCCCTCCCAGCCTTCCCAGCCTCCAGGTTGAAGAGACACAAACCCTGACTTCACTCTCCCCGTTTTTCTTGGCGTGTCTTCTGACATCCCAATGAGGAAGAGATTGGGGAGCAAGCCAGACTTGTCTTCTTTGGAGTTCCTCAGGACAAAATAATTAGTTCAAAACAAATGTCTAAAGCAGATGTAGGTTCTTCCTGAGACAGAGCAAATATCCTATCTTACTCATAACCGTTTTCATTATATATCTTTGCAAAATCACATGTTCAGGGGCTTCTTGGACATGCATCCAGAAGACTTCTATGCCCTTCAAAGGCCTGGCACCTGGGGGTGCTCCCGTGTGGCACCTCCCAGGGGAACAGGAAGGGGAGCCTCTGACTGAGCATGGTGAAGAGAGGGTGTGTTCAGGCCTTCAGTCAACTAGTTCTGCTCTGTCAGGGAATCAGGCTTATCTCAGCTCTTCACCAAGACACAGTTGAAAATGCCCAAGCCTTTGGAATGTTGCAGAAGACTGAAGAGAAGGATCTGTAGTTGGTACGATCTTAACATTGGCAGAAGGACCAGTCATTTCCTACCAATTCTGGTGGCAAAGAGGCAAACAATGAGAGTAGCTGATGGAGAAAGCTACTTATAGAAGGTGTGCCTTCTAGGAGAAAAGATTCTGAAAAAATAAATATTCTAACCACCTTCTTCCTCCACCATCCAGGCTCTGACCAGTGCCTCTCACCAGCAGAAGGGCAGAGAGCAGAGAGCCCATTACTTGGGTCCGTACAGGTTGCCTTGTGGGTGCACAGTAGAGAGAGCACAGATCTTCAGGGCAAATGGGAAGCATCCAGAAAGTTGACACTTGGGTGTTTTCACCAGATCCAAGCTTCCGTGTATACTTGGCTTCCTCCCATTTCTTGTAGAACAATCCAGGAAACATCTTCATCCACCTACTCCAAGAAGGAAAGCACAGAATTCACATAGACAAAGGAAGGGATGGTGGTTAGTGGGGCCTTATTTGTGCTGGGCATCCTGGTGACTGGTCTCAGCCACAGGACTCAGGGGAGCCTCACCCATGGCATGCTTGGTTTGAGAACAGGGTCCGCACTCCCAGTAACTCATTGAATGTGATGTTGTGACTGCAGATGACTTGTTTCCTCAGCTGCTACAAAGCTGTCAAAAGCAGCCCAAATACTGACACCCACAGCCCTGCTCTGTCTTATCTCACGGTCACTGACTAATCAACAGTCACAAAACAATTCACCTGGATTAGCAATAATCCTAAACCACTCGCTATGGTGGCTGGCTCTTTTAAAGATGCTTCTATGTGAATAATTCAGATATGAATGATAATAATGTGAATAATTCAGATACGAATACGAGATTTTAAACAAAGGGTTCACTCTTCACACAGAAGCGGGAATTGGTATAGGTTAAGAAAGAAAAAAGCATTTCATGAGCTAATTTCTCTCGACTGCTACCCGGCTGGGACTTTATAACCTTAGGTCCTGACAATGGCTGGTAGCGCCAGGAATGGTGGCTGCTTCCTTTGAAGGTGGGGTCCTGGTAAAGGGCGCACGCACCCCTCTGGTACCGTGAGAGCTCCCTCCTTCGACCCTGCCATGTTTAGCAAAATCCTTTACTTCTTTGTAATGTCTTTTCTGTTATTTCTTCCATACGTTACATACTCATTTTTATCACTTACATCTTACCTTCTGGATTCGTATTTTAAAAGGGTACTATTGTACTCCAACCATCCTGCCTTGGAAAGCACCTTTTAAGAACCCAAACTTACCGAGCGAAGACGCTAAATTCAACACTGTTTCTGTCACATGCCAAGAGGATGGAGAGAACGGGCAGCAGGGATCCCCACCCAGCACTGGGAAGGCACCCCATCCATGCTGCAGAAAGCCTTGGGGAGGCTGGTTGGCTGCCCACCCCCACCCCCCCACCCTCCGCTTTGGGAAAATGCCCCTGGAGCAGCGAGAGCCTGAACATCAGGGCTCTGCCTAGCACAGGGAAATGAGGAACTGAAAAACAATGTAGGCATAAAGAATAAATGTGTTCATTTCCTTAGCATAGAATTGACCCCAGCCTGCCATCCATATGAATTCTCTTTTGACTTCTTTCTTCACCTTCCAAGCAGGGGTGTAGACTAGATCATCCTTCAGGCCCATTCTGTGCCCAAATTCTGGTGAGGACCCTGGCTCATGTCAGGTGAGCCCCAGATGGTCCCCCACCCCATCTGGGTGATGAGTATGGCCCACTAGGAGGCAGACTTATTCTCTCCCACCCAGGCTGTGCTCCTGTTGTTCAGGCACCACTGTTAATGTCCATGGGGAAGATGGAGCTCTACCATGAGACAGTGATTTGAGAAAGCTGCTCAGTATTGCCAGGTATAAAGTGCAAATTCCTCCTTGTAATTTAATGCTCAGGACAGTTGTGGGTAAGCTGTTGATGTACATGTGTTGCACATATACTATATACATGGGAGACAGAGATAGATGTCCAAAAATTCCACTTGCTCAAGGCATAATTCTAGCTGTCTTGGGAAGGAAATACCATCTCTGTCACAGCGTCTCGGGGTGGGGGTGCTTTCCCTGCCCTTGGGACTCTACAGGAACCGGAGTTTGTGTGGTCCAGAAAATTGGGAATAAATTAACCTTCATTCAGTTTTGCCCCTGGTCCACCACAGGGGCTTGGCTCTACTCTCTCAGTGCCTGGTAAGGCATGGGGCAGCCCATCTATTTGAGGGGCCTCTGTATTGAGTGGGGTGCCAGTCCTCACCTCCCACAGAACCCACAGTGCCATTCTCCCAGGCCTTAAATCCCTGCAGGGTACAACCTACTCCCTCCCACCCCATGACAGTCTTACAAGCAACAAAAGGACACGTCTTCAGTACATATAAGCACTGACCTGAGAGAGGAAGGAAAAATGCCTTTCATTCTTTAATGATTACCTGCCATGGAAAATACAAGAAACCATAAATTTCTCCATCAGGTTATGTTGCTTCACTTATCTGTAAGAAGACTCCAAGATCATGGGTCTCTAGGCCTGAGGAGTAAGCACTGGTACCTTGTCCAGAAGCCCACCACTGTGGGCAAGATGGTGTGTGATGCTTCAGCAAGTCTGTGAACCCAAAGGGCAGAGGCATGTCTGTGTAATATAGTAGTTACTGCATACCTGAGAAATTGAAATACAGATGTCAAAAAATATTTAGGAACCCCCTTGACTTGTGGTGTTGAGTCTTGGCTCCATGGAAGGATAGTCAGATTGAAGCAGATCTGCCAGGGAAGTGGCGGGATGTGCAGATGTTCCAAAGGCTTCCGAGTCAGCCCAACATGGCCAAGTCCCAGGTCAGGTGGGAGAACTTGGCCACGTTACTTGGCCTTCTTGAGCCTCACTTTTTTACATTTTGAGTCAGAGATATGTGAGAGCTGTCAAACCGAGACCAGTTCACCCAACACAACCCTGTGCTCCCATGAAACAGCCCATTGCAGGTGCTGGAGCCATGACTCTAAACCACACAGGTGAAATTCCTGCACTTGCAGAGACTAAATTCTAGTAGGGAAGAAAGACGATAAAAGGGAGACCATATACGTGAAGTGAGGCGGTGAGGACCGTTGTGGAAGGGGTAAGAAGCAAGGTAGGGAGGTACGAGGAGAAGGGAGGGAGACTAAGGCAGGCTCTCTGGAGGGCAGGGAGGAGGGAGGGATGGAGACATCTGGCTCTGGTGTTCCCAGCAGGAGGGGCTTGGCCTCAAAGGCTTGCACACTATGTAAGGAAGGCCAGGCATGGGAGCAGATGGAACAGGGGTTGGAGGAATTGGAAAGGAAGGCAAGAGAATGGTAGCCAGGGGCCCAGGGAACCATTGTAAGCCCTGGGGACTAACTGTAGGTCGGAGGTGCAGTCCCACGAGGATTTGAACAGGGGAGTGACATGTTTAGATTCACATTTGATGCGTTCTGGTGCTCTGTTGAGAATGGAGTCTAAGGGGGCAAGAGAAGAAGCAGGAAGAGCAAGGAGGAGGTAGCTGCTTTAGTTCAGGGGAGGAGGGGTAGCCAGCGCCCTGGGGGTAGCAGTGGAAGTCACGAGAAGAAGCTAGATACTGAAGCAGGATCTGCTTTGAAGGTGGACCCATGGGACTTGCTGATGTACTGGATGCGGGCCATGGCAGAAAGAGCTGAGTCAAGCATGACCCCAAGAATGTTGCCCTTCCTTAGCATGCGGGTAGATGACAGTGCCATGGGGAGATGCAGACCCCTGGGGGAGGGGCAGATTTGGGGACGATGGACGGGCCAGGAGGGGCAGACTAGGTCAGAGATCCTGGTGAGACTTGTGACATCGCTGTCCAGTTGAACATGAGAGTCTGGAGGTCAGGAGAGGCCTGGGTTAAGGATATAGATGTGGGAGTTAGCAGTGTGAGAAGAAATCCCTGGGGAGGAGGTGAGCTTTCATAGCAAGCTCCCACCATAGCCCCAACACAGTTCCACTCTGTCTT